GACACTTTTATGAAAGGAACTGTTCATATTTGCTGCGAAGACAACTTTTCAAATACAGCGCAGTGATACTATGTGGTGTGCTGGGAGGTATATATATCTTATGCTGTAGTGTGTGGCTAGTACTGTTATTAGCTATACTATATTCATAAGTTATGTATATTGCAGAAACTTTGTCACCTGATACACACTGTATATGTGTGATTGATAGTATATGAGTGGTATGAGCCTATATATACATAACACATATACTATGTGCTATGTTATATTATATAGCTATACAGATATAGTAAGTATATATACGCACTGTTATGGTATATACGGTATATAATGCGGTATATATATTATATGGTATACTAGTGCTGATAGGTGAGGATATATATATATATAGATATATCAAATCAAATAATAGCATTGCACCTATGTGAATTTTAAAATGTACATTACATTAACCTGTCTGTTCATACATAAATGTGGACTGATCATTGTATTGCTGCTCTACATAATTTTCTTGAAATTCTGACATTTCTTATCTAAATGTTTGCTAAGTCCTGGGTCTACTGTATATTCATCACTGGTTTATTTGCCTTCTCTCTAGTAGACTGTGATCATGGGGGAGTGGTCCTTCCTGTCTGCTCTGTTGGACAAGGTGCAGTCACACTCCACTGTAGTGGGGAAGGTCTGGATGACTGTTCTTTTCCTCTTCAGGATCTTCATCCTGGCTGCTGGCATAGATAAAATATGGGGAGATGAACAATCAAACATGGACTGTAACACCAAAAGTCCTGGCTGCAAGAACGCATGCTACAACCAATCCTTCCCCATATCTCACACACGCTTTTGGGTCCTCCAGATCCTCTTTGTCTCCACACCGACACTCATCTATCTGGGCCACGTCCTGCTGGTGATTCGCAGAGAAAACAAGCTGAGGAGACGTGTGGAGCAGAAATTTAGTAAGAATGGGATTATCAAAGCTCCAAAATATTCAGATGAACATGGCAAAGTTCAGCTCAAGGGCATTCTGCTGGTCAGCTACATGATGCAGCTGCTGTTCAAGATCCTGCTTGAAGTGGCATTCCTTGTAGGCCAGTATTACCTCTATGGCTTCATATTTATGCCCAGTAAAATTACATTTTCTGAATACCCCTGTCAGACACCAGTAGACTGTTTTATAAGTCGTCCCACAGAGAAAACCATCTTTATTCTCTTTATGATGGCAATGGCCATCCTCTCTGTGATCCTGAACATAGTAGAGATGTTTCACCTGATGATCTCAAAGATGATGGAGAAGAAAAGGAGGAACAGTGGCTCCATTCCCCCAGATATGTACAGTCTCAACAAACCAAACCACAATTCAACTGAGAGAGTTACACTTTGTTGAAGGACTGTCAGCACAGATGTTCAGCTTTGAGATGGATCATGAGCCAGTCTGTGCAGGATCTTGCTTGTCACTCAATAAATATTGAGAGAACTATGTCACATCCAGTTTAAAATTGTCAGAGTACGAAAGCCATCTTGTGTACCAAAAGTAACACATTATATTTTTTACTTTTTATTTCATGTAAATAATTCAGGTCAGTCGTAAGTAGCAGGATTTATTGTATTCTATCCCGCTACTTACTATCTATTTAGAATTATATAAAAGTGGTCAGTGTAAACATGTCTTCATCTGATCTAAGGACTATCTAAGGACTAAGGAGTTTACAGTTAAAGCAGGAGAATATTTAAATACCAGGAAAAAATAGTGTTACATATTTCAAATTGAATTAGATCAGTAACTGTCTGGTGAGTTAGTTCTTTCTATACGAAATGAAACAAAGGACAGCATTTATAGCAAAGCGAGTCACATTCTCTCACACTCTTTTTTAGGTCATCTCTACATAGTGTGGCTGAAGCTCTGGTTCAGGGTCACTTACATTTTGAGTCTGACCATTACAGAAACAGTTGAGTAGATTTATATTGTTTCATTTTAATAGTTTCTTTGCTCAAAACGCAATTCTTTATTTTAGTACTTTTTTAGTAGTTTTTAGTCATTTTTAATCATGAAATACATTTTCAAAAGCAGTATAAAAAGTGGAGCATGTACTTGCTCAGTGCACAGTACAGGAGCTGGACATCAGAATTATTGACAGGGGTCAAAGCTGAAGTACATGATCACACTCTTTACACTGCTTTTTACCACAGGCATGAATCACTGTTACGACATTAAACATTGATTATCAGACATTTAATTATAAACAGTCTTTCATTAAGACATTCAATCTTTGTGGCTTTGCTTTTAGAGGTGTCCATACTTTTCATGCCAGGGGCCACACAAGTACACAAGTAAATCAAGAGTCTACACCTGTACAGCTTAAAGTACAAAAAGATTTTTGTGTCACTATTAAATAGAAAAAGTCTCCTAATGTGAATAGGAAAGCAGGGCCTTGGATTGAAGAATTGTTGTCAGGTCAAATGTAAGTCTTGTGGAGATTCAAAGTACATCGGGGAGGGTTATCAGTCATTTTGGAAAATTTTAACAAATTAAGCAGAGTAAATTCTAATCTTAAAACAATTCACAGGTCTTGTTATTTAAGTCATTGGGCATGGCGGACTGGCAGTAATGTGGACATGCCTGTATAGAATCTAATGATTTACATGTTTTCAGAGTGTATTAACTTAATTTGAAATCACCTATTTTGTTGTAATGCTGCATTTTGTATTTGTGAGTATTTACTGTAATAACTGTATGATGGATGATGTATTTTATTTTCCTGCTAAATTAATTTCTAATCATTTTGCTTTGTCATGTTCATTGATGTTTCAGGGTGAAGGTGCACAGATGCAGAAGTAAAGATTTTCTAAGCTTTTTATTGGACTGACTGTAGATTTCATTGCTGTCCTCTAAAAAGTTAACTTTAGTTTGTTAGTGTACATTTAAACACCTTTAATTATACAGTTCTACATTAAACTACCTTTATTTATCCACTTAAAGAAAAATATTTTAATTACTAATGATTTTCATCAGTGTAATAGAGTTGGCTAAGTCGCCATTTGACTTAAAGTATACAACTTCAGGTGTCCTGAGATAACGTTTGTTATGAATTAGCGCTATACAAATAAAATTGAATTGAAAATTGAATTGAATTCCATTATCGCAGAGTACATGAGGGGATATGGTTTGTTTCTGGCAACGAATGTGAATGGTTGCCCTGATATTCATCTGGTCAACCACTAACTCCAGGTGGATGACCTTTGACCTGTTGATGCTTACAGTTATAAAAAGGATAAAGCAAAAGTCCTGTAAATCTAATATTGCCCAAAAGCTGTCCTGTTTTGTTGATTTGCAACATGCTTGCTCATAGTGGGCTAATACAACCAGAGAGACAGTATTAAAATAATAATAAAGCTTATAAACCTGAGCTTATAATAAACATGAAAGCAGGTTTGACAACCGTCTGATCTGAGACAGCATTCCACTGTGAAGCTATGTTGCCTGACAAATGACAAATGAATGTAGTGGATGGTAAATGGTCCTGTACTTGTATAGCACCTTTTTTAGTCTTCCGACCACTCAAAGCGCTTTTGCGATGCACAGCATCGGGAGAAAT